CTCTCCTCCATTTTCTCCTCCACCCCCTTTTGTCCCACCAGCCCCAATTTCTGTGCCAGGTAATCTTTCTGCTGTTTCCGATGTCAACTCAGAATTTAGATGACAATTTATTTTTAAGTTTGGCAATTCCTCTGTTGCAATTGCCCTGTTGAATAGTTTTTCTTACCTTGGCTTTTTGACATCATCTTATTTTGTGCTATTGTAGTGCCTGTTAGGGTTTTTAATTGAATGGGTATCTTTTAGTGGTCAACCATATTACATAATGATCTTTTTATCTTTAAAAATAATTGACTTTTTTATAGGCGTGCTGCCTGAGCAAAGGTGGATGCCTGTGAAAATATTATTAGCTGTTACATCTCTACCAGAAAGTTTCTAAACCTCTTAATGTTTTACGGACATTTTGCTATTTTTTTAGATCCCATCACCTTCTTGAAGATTAAATTCTTTATGTATGCATTTAATATGGGAAGGTATTGGTCATTTGCTCAAGAGGCTATTTTTGTCGGGTCAAGATCTGATTGTGTTTTCTGCATTAAATTTATGGTTGTAATGCTATGGTGAGCATAAAGAAGATTAAAGAAGCACCTTTATTATATTCTCTCTGTATATCCAATCATAGGAGGTAATAGTGCCACTGGGGCAATTGCTGGAGGAGTTGCTGCTGGTGCTGCTTTGTTATTCGCGGCTCCTGCCATTGCATTTGCATGGTGGCGTCGAAGGAAACCACAAGAATTTTTCTTCGATGTGCCTGGTTAGCATTCCCATCTAAATGAATTCTAGATTGGTTGAATCTGCTAGTAGGATGGATTCTGACTTAAAGTATATTTGCAGCTGAAGAGGATCCTGAAGTTCATCTTGGACAGCTCAAAAGGTTCTCACTACGAGAACTGCAAGTTGCAACTGATAGTTTCAGCAATAAGAACATTCTGGGAAGGGGTGGATTTGGTAAAGTATACAAGGGGCGCTTGGCTGATGGTTCATTGGTTGCTGTGAAAAGACTGAAAGAGGAACGTACACCTGGTGGGGAGCTTCAGTTTCAGACTGAAGTAGAGATGATCAGCATGGCTGTACATCGAAATCTTCTTCGATTGCGTGGATTCTGTATGACACCAACTGAGAGGCTGCTTGTTTATCCCTACATGGCTAATGGGAGTGTTGCCTCATGCCTAAGAGGTGGATGTTTTGCATTTCTTGCTTATACTTTTGAAAGTCATTATACTTGATTGATTGTTAATCATTGAAGAGAATGTAAGAAGTCTTGATTAATGCAAGGGCATTCTTACTTTCTAATGGTAAATTGGTAATGGCAATAGCTTTGATTAGGTGACCTTGCATTTTGTGTTTTCTAAGGAGAGAAATGGTTTTTTGGTCCAATGGAAAGATGCAGATGATGCTAACCTACACAAAAAAGTGAGGATAGGATCTCCAATATATAATGGCCAGGGAGAGGGATGACAATGTTAGAATAACGATTCCCCTTATTATTTATAGATGCCTTTGCTTTCTGATTGTGTGTCCGTTTTCAAATTGAACAATGTTTAATGAATTTTTTATTTGAACTATCGTGATTCAGGGGCTGTCTTCCGCTCATATTTCAACATATAGTTGGTTTTTGTATTCACCTTGTAATTTTGTATTTGTATTACTCTAGAGCGCCCAGCACATCAACCTCCCCTGGATTGGCCAACAAGGAGACGAATTGCATTGGGTTCTGCAAGGGGTCTTTCTTATTTGCATGATCATTGTGATCCCAAGATTATTCATCGAGACGTGAAAGCTGCAAACATATTGTTGGATGAGGAGTTTGAGGCTGTTGTTGGGGACTTTGGGCTGGCAAAACTTATGGACTACAAGGATACCCATGTCACCACTGCTGTTCGGGGCACAATTGGGCATATAGCTCCAGAGTACCTATCTACTGGGAAATCTTCTGAGAAAACTGATGTTTTTGGGTATGGTATCATGCTTTTGGAGTTGATTACTGGACAAAGAGCTTTTGACCTTGCCCGGCTAGCAAATGATGATGATGTTATGTTACTTGATTGGGTATGTTTACCATAAAAGCGTATCATCTTGTTCAAGTGCAATATACCTTTGCTGTTTAATTCTATGCAATTTTACATCCTGCAATAATTTGTAGAATGTCTTTTTTTTTTTTTTTTGGTTATACCCAATGATGGCTGATATATGGAGGAACCATTCCCAACCCTCCCCCGCTGTTAAGCAGAAATTAATTTGGTGCTGAGATGTGTAAAAGTCCATGTGTTATTATTTGATTAGAGAACTTAATAGCTAGCACGCAAGTTACTTCAATCTTTTCGTCATGGCTTTGGCTGAGTGGCTGTGCAAAACATCTATACTTGCGTAAAGTTTTCTTTTGGTGTTTCGCCTCCAAATCTCATACTCTTGAACATGTTCTTAGGTAAAAGGACTTCTGAAGGAGAAGAAGCTGGAAATGCTGGTTGATCCTGATCTACAAAACAATTACGTTGAAGCCGAGGTAGAACAGCTAATTCAGGTTGCACTGCTGTGCACGCAAGGTTCCCCTTTGGACCGGCCTAAGATGTCGGAAGTTGTGAGAATGCTTGAAGGCGATGGCTTGGCTGAGCGATGGGATGAGTGGCAAAAGGTGGAAGTGTACCGCCAGGAAGTGGAGCTAGCCCCTCATCCTGGTTCTGATTGGCTTGTTGACTCAACCGAAAATCTACATGCAGTTGAGCTATCAGGTCCAAGGTGACATTGGCAGTTGGCACAGTAGAAAAGTAAAGAAAAAAAAACAAGCATCATTTATCCCTTTTTTTCTTTTTCTTTTTTAACTATAGAAGCTCTCTTTTTTACCTTCTTCCCTCCCTTTGGTTCCTTTTGAGTACACATCCTGATTATGCCTCTTGTAAGTCCACTGCATTGTATTCATTTACATTTGTGCATAGGGGTTAGCTTTATCATGAGTTGCAATCTGTATCATCTGCAGTTTGGCAATTTGATGTAAACATCAAATGAAACAATGGCCAGCTTAATCTTGAGTTTTGTAGCCTTTCCCGAACCACAGTTCTATATGTTATCTTGTTATTTAGTGGGGTTTACTAGTATGAGTGTGTAAGATTTCAAATGGGGTTATTTATGGATCAATCCTAGGGTTGGGGATGATTCCAAGGGAAACGTTCTCGATTAAGATTAGCATGGGACAACACAAGTTTTGTTATGGACGCCGAGCAGCTTGTAATTATCAACAGGACATGATTTTCATGTCTTTTGCGGTTTCTCCGAAGTGCACGAGAAAGTGGCAAAGATGAGAGAATGGCTTGGACTTCATCAATTGGTTTGCTGGAAAGGATAGAGATTCATTCCAATGAAACCCATTAAGTCAAGGGGAATTCTTATACGCGCACACAAGCCTAAGAAAACCATCGAGTCACAAGGTGACTTTACACGCGTGGCCGCCCGCCCGTGAGGAATGCTCGAGCCACTTGGGATTTTATTTGGAAAAATTTAATTTAAAACCCTTGGATCACTCTTAATGAAAGAGAAGATTTCTTAGACTTGGAAACTTCATTTCAGATTAGGAGTATTGAAGTGAAGTTAAGATGTTGATAGAAATGACAGAATTAACCCTCTTCAATTTTGAGCTCTGATGTTGAATAATTCTTATAGGTCAATCAACAAGTTTATGTAGGAAAGTGAACAACTTTGTATGAGCAATGAATAATCCATTTTATTATAATTATATTACTTAAAATAAAATCAAGATTTAGTGACATTACAAACAATTCCTGTAAGTCAATGAGCAACTTCATGTAGGGAAATGAACAACTTATTTTATTATAATCATAACATGGAATAAAATCAAGATTTAGTAATATCACCAACAACTTTTGTGGGTTAATAAATAACTTTATGTAATGAAATCAACAATTTATTTTATCATAATCATAACATGAAATAAAATCAAGATTTAATAATGGCACAAATAATATCTACAGGTCAATGAACAACTTTAAAATAGAATTAAAGAGGATGAGGGACAATGAGGTAATTTTACTTTATGTTTTAATTTCACTTCAGTACTTTGGTTTGAAGTGAATTTTTAAAGTTTAAGGGACCTTCTTTTTCATTTAGTGTGGTTAAAGGATCTAAAATGACATTTACCGATTCTATTTCTATTGCGATAATTTTTTTTAAACTTTTAGGATTGTAGAGAATTTTTTTTTTTTTTGGTTATAGGTTGTGATATCTCAGTAATATTGAATTTTTTTTGAAGAAAATTATATGTAGAATTTTTTTTTGACATATTATGTTCAATTAATATAGCAATAAGTTAATTGCACTTATACTGCAAAAAAAGAAATGGTTACAGACTTAATTACTCTAGAATACATCCTCTTACGCTAGACGGCCCTAGTTTTTCTTTACCTCTGCTTGAGAACTTTTGGCGATCAAGTCCCCACTAAAATCACTTTCTATGGAGAGCCATCAATAAAGATCTGGCCACAAAGGAGGCACTTTTGTGACGAAATTGCTCACCAAACCCACTTTTGGTCAACTCAGTGACTAACAGGGACAGAGAAGGCATTGGTTAATCTCTAGTCTCTTTTTTTTCCTCTGTTTTTTGATGTCTTTGCCTTTGTGCTTATGACCTTTTGCTTTGTTATGTTTGAACCTTCTCTTTAGTTAATGGAATTTGATTTCCCCGTTGGTGTAAAAAAAAAAAAAATGCAATGAGTTAATTGACAGCAAAGAATTATTTCTATAATTTTTCAATTTTATGGAAAGTTCATTGCTAATAAGTTGTGTGCAGTTTCACATTCTTTTTAGCGTTTGAAAGAGTCTCAGTATTTTATAAATTTATAATAATAACTCGAATTCAGTGATGGAAATTGCATTCCTGGCATTTGCATGTGCTTTTGTTGGATATTTTTTCCTCACGTAGCATTTCGGTCATCCATGCCAACATGTCTAGCATTCTTCATCTATCTTCTAGCAGATATGAAAAGCCAAGATCATACGCTGCCTATGAAACCGCGGAATTAAAATTCCTTATTTTCAATACAAGATTGGTTCTTCACATTCATTATAGCCTCAGCCACCATCAAACAACTTCGGGATACCAAAAAAGATTGAGCGTTCACTGATGCAGAGGCAGCCATGGCATGTAGTGTGAAGACCTTAAAGCCAGAATTCCCCGTCACAGATCATGAATTGGAGTGATGATTATCCAAACCAGTCTGAGGTCCGTTATTTGAGTTCGGAAAGGTAAATAAATTGGGGTACGAGGAATATAAATCATCTTCCATCGAAGGTAAATTCCTAAACCGGAGACTAGATGATCTGTCATCCAGTGTTCCATAATTGGGAAGTGAAGAATAATGCTCTGCCTTGATAGTGTCATTTGAAGGAGAACTTGATGACTGAGGTCCTGGGGAGGCACTATTAGCCTGACGGGTTTTCAGGTCTTCCACACCATGATCATCATAATCACTAAAAGTATTTTGCTCACTGAAAAGTCCCCCTTCTATTGCTATAGATCGATTTGCGCTATTAGCATAGAATGGATTCTCAGAGGCATCATCTGTCTCACACAGACTCTTTTTCTTAGTAAGATCACTATTGTGGACTTGTTCAAGACTCGCTGCTGACGGAGCTGGATTATAATCCTTATGAGATTCCAGTTCATTCATAAAGTTGCCATCATAGTCACTAGAAGTATTTTGCTCACTGAAAAGTCCCATTTTTGTTGTTGCAGAATGGTGAGAACCACCAGTGTGGAATGGATTCTCAGAGGTACTGTCTGTTTCGTGTCCAACATTTCTCTTGGTAAGCTCGTTAATGCGGACTTCTGCAAGACTAGCTGCTGACCGAGCTGCAGCTGCTGCCCGTTCAGCAGTTTCAGCAGCAGCTTGAGCAGCATCCAACACATCCTTTAAGTCTACATCGGCCTCAGACTTCGTCATAAGGGAAGGAAGTGAGTCACCATGTCTTGTGTTGGATGATTCCGGCGATACAAATGGAGGAGAGATAAATGGCACAAACTGCTTATTATCCATTCTAGCAGAGGTTTGAGGTTCGTCTTTATGTATGATTCCAGAATGGCTTGACGAGAGAAATTCAACTTCACGGTGTGGGAAAACCGGAGGAGTGGCCATTTCTGGAGCTGTGGCAACATTTAGATTTGAGAGCACTGGTGGTTGAGGAACTTCAGGAAATTCCAATGTGTCAGAACCAGAGCCAGAGTCCGAATCAGAATCAGAATCAGGTTGTTCTCGGTCAGGCTGGTCGGGAGCAGAGTATGATGTTTCATTGTGCTTTTCTTCAGGAAGGAGCAATTTAGGCTCGGTAGAAATTTGTGTTTGGCCATTCTGAAAAAGAAGAGTGACATACAAGATAATAATAGAAATGAAAAAGAGAAGTTGCCATTACCATGATCACAAATTACATTCTTTTGGCTAGTCAATACTGCCGATTACGTACCAGCAAGTCTTCTTGTTTTTGGAAGAGCTCAGTTTCTGAAGCAGCTGGATCCCAATCTATCTCATGCTCAGCTGCAATTTCTTTCAGAAGATTCAGTTTCTTTTCTGGAGATGGAGCATGTACAGATAGAAGCTCTATTAACTGCAATTCCAATTCAAATGTAGAATGTCACCAAAAGAAATAGCATTTACCCTTCTTGACAATGCTCAAAAGCAAATTGAAAATTCATGGAACCTGGCGATTAACCCCACAATCTGGCATGAGCTCAGTTGCCGCTGATACAAATTCCTTTCCATATTTGGATGCAAATAGTAGTTGCACCTGCAACAACTCTGGCAGATCAGCACATCTTGGCGCAGCAAAACATATACTAGATATTGCTTCCTTCAAATCTAGAGGGCATTCCCTGTACAACATTGAGAGTTTGGATACATAGTAAGAGAACTTTCATTGAGTCTCAATAAAGAAACATATATACAAAGCATTACAGTTAGATACAGATTTCATAAGCCATTCAAATAACATGTCGGCCAAAGTAGTTTAACATGATTAAAATCTTTTCACATGGCAGATTTGAATTAGAATATAACAGTGTAAGATGCTTAAAATATGGCATAATGTCAATCATGTTCTTCTCTAGAAATATGAATACGGAAAATTAACTCTGGTGTAGCACTGAAACAGGTTATGAGTTATGACTCAATGGCCAAAAGCGGAGGCAATATGCAGAGATCCTTCTTATTTGTACAGCTCAGTACTCTAATTAGGTCAATTTTGACACTACAGACGCGCGCTCGCGCGCGTCTGTTGTATTTCAGCTATGTTCCTTGGAGGGATCACGACTCCTAAAATCATTGGGATTTCACAAAATTTAAGCATAACTTTTCTTTTTTTTTTTTTTATAATACCTTTGTGATTCAATTATGGGAAGGCGGACTACAATAAGTTCACAAAACAATTCAATGATCTCTTGAGCAGCTATCATGTTCTCCTCTCTGATAATATGTTCCACCTGCATGGATCATCTCATCAAGAATAGCTCTAAAAATAGTTAACTGAAGACACTTTTCTTTCTGCCATTAGCTGAGGGTTTGAAAATCTGGAAAGTAAAAAAGGTAAACAATTTGTGCGAATAAATTATACCCTAATTCGAGCAGTAGCTTCTTGACAAGTCTCAAGGAGCTTGGCAATGTCACGTCGCATTTGCTTTAGTTGAATCTCTCTTCTGTTTCTTAGCAACTTTATACGCGGAATTGTCAGCTTCAGTAGTGTTTTGCTGAGAGTGTAAACATTATGGGAAAATAAAATAAAATCACTCTAGCAATAAAATTAGGCAACAGGGAAAAGAAAAATCAACGTTAAGAAGAGATTACAGAATGAGCTCACGTACCGTTAATCTAATGAAACGTGTATATTAAGAAAAGAATAGAATACGCTATCCTCATGATTCACATACAGACAATTGACCCAGAAACCAGAAAAAGGAAACACAGCTGCAAGATTCAGTAGAAAATCTAGCCAGGACAGCAAAAGCTCATAACGGAAGATAGTCATAGATGAAGGCTTGTTAAGAATAATTCAGGTAAAATTACCAATATAAGTTCAACAAGGTCAACCCACGTAATGGTTTCTTATTTTTATTAATAAAGAATCCAGATATCAGTCCTTCCTTTAAAAAGAATTCTAAGATATCATATTCATGCATTCCAAATGATTGCGAGAATATACACACAAACGGAAAACAAAAGCCGGAGAAAAACTTGGATCGGGACCAGACATGAATTATCAATAAACAAAATAAACCCAGAAGATGTGAGTTACCATTTGGAAGCCATAAAACCCCTGTTGAAGAAGGACCCGAGAATCGACATGGTCGAGCGTTCAATCAAACCAGCGTCCTGAATTGCATGAAAACAGAAGCGGGCTTCACAATCGAAATCGTATACAGAATTTGAGGCATAGCAGGCAATTGGGCAATTCAGAATTCCCCATGTTGGCCAAATTTGAATAAAAAAAGGGAAGGTGGGACTGGCTGGCAGTTCCTTAACGAGGAAGGATGGGATGATCTGGATAACCCAGTTGGAAGATTATAAGTTGATGAGCGCGTGCGGACGATACGTAGTGATGAACGCGGGAGTCTCAGTCGACGGACAGAGGATTTCCGTGGGGGCCACAGAGGAGGAAGAGTAGGTTATGCACAGAAGCTGACTGGTTGTTTTTGCTTGGATTCATTTTTCTGTTATTCCAACCGCTCTTTTACGTTATGCTTATTATTATTCTTAATTATTCTTATTTTTGTAATTATTCAATTGTGTTTCCATTATGGAATATGGATAATCAATAATTTTTATTGTGGTGGACAATCGCCGATACCAAACAAAGATATTTTCTCTTAACTTTTATTGTATAGAAAATAATCTAAAGGAGCTTAACCTTCAACTTTCACATTTTTTAATCACTGTGTACATCACGTCAATTTCATGTTTGATTATACCATATAATTATAAACTCAATAACGTTACCAAAACAGCTTCACAAGTTCAACACTCAAAAGACTTTACAACAATATTCATTTTTCTCTCTTTCTCTTTGGTTTCTACAAGATACCTAATTAAAAATTCATGTCCCTGTAAATTAAATTGTAACTTTAAAGAGTTGTCCATTAATGTTAGTGTGAGTAATAAAAGTTCTCAGTACTTAAATAAGTGGTTAGATGTTTGAGTCCTAATCTTTGCATATGTAACAATTTAGTTATAAAAAATTTACTTTATCTCTACTGTCAGCAGAATTTACTCTTTATACTATCAAAATAAAATTATTACAAAAGATTATGCAAGGAGTTGCAACCCTTAAACTCATAAGGTCATATCCTTACAATATCTAAAAATACTCTAGAAGGTTATATAAAACCCCAAAAAAAAAATGATAACCGCTATTTTATTATTTAAAAAAAAACACTACGTACTATAAAAATGTTACTCTTGATGAAAAGATTAGTTTTAATAACCATTGATAGATAGTGTTGGTATATAAAGCACTTTCATCGAATAAAGGTCATATATTTCTATTGAAGAGTTATGTCACTTCAAGAGACATCACTCTATTGTCAAGAAAAGCAGACTTCTAGCTACCAGCAGTCAAAACACAAATTCTAATTGATCATCAACCTTGTTCCTTTTTTTTTTTTTTTTTTGCGGGCAAAATCCACCTTATTCAAAACATATAAATTCATTGTATATTTTTTAGTGCACAAAAGACAAACATAAATGATCACTTTGTAAAAGAAACTGTTGTCTAAACTTGAGTTTTGACTTTTGATAATGTAAATTGTGTTTAAGGCATTTAAGGCTCCTCATTGTATTCTGAAAGAAATTTATGATTGACACATACATCAATGTGTTATGAAGGAAATTCATCCTTAACACAAAGTGCATCCAACTTTTGAAAATGCATAGAATAAATTAAGCCTATATAAAATGGATTATCAACACCTTGAAGACATTATACACAATTCTATTTCTCATTTTTTCCCTACTCAAACCATCGTTGCTGTCAACAAAATACTCCCTCTGATCCTTTACATAAGATACCTTCTAAAAACATTATTTAATTTTTAATATAAGAAACTTTATAAAACTTGATGAAGTAGTGATGAATTGTTTCCAAAATGCCCACACATCCAATTGATTTATTTGGATGGTATCAAGGTAAAGTTAGTAATTTTAATTAAGGGTAATTTAGGATTTATATATATATATATAATGTTTTTAAAAATAAAGAGTCTTACAAGTAGGATTCAAGGAGTATGTCTATATATACATATATAAAATAAAATTTTTAATTAATAATTTTTTCATTATTCATAATTATCTTTTTATTGAAAACAGTTCTATTTTAGATGCCAACAAGGTTCAAACCTTTCAAGCGGCGTATCCCTAATAAATTTTTATATATGATCAAAGCAACAGAATTTTGAGTCTTCAATATCTTCCGATCAATATGTAATGAATGCTGGTGGTCAAGACAAAGATATATGTAATGAATGCAATAAATATATTTTATTGAGTATATAGCATCTCAAATATTGGGAATCATTTAGATATATAGGTGTTTTAAAATGCAATTAATGAGGTTTTTTTAAAAAAATATTCTTAATTAAAGAATATAATTAATAAAAATTTTTAATCAAGACATCTATTAAATAAAAATAAATATAAAAAATAAAATTTTAAAAATAATTAGCTAAGTCGTTGGAAATCGTTAAGAGTGTAATTTATAATATTGAACGGAGTACTTCATTTTATTTAGTCTTCTGTAAGTAAATGATATTCTTTAAAAAGGCATATTTGCTTTTATTTTCTACTTACTTCAAAAACAATTTTTTTTTGCGCTTGGCTTCACAAAATCATGACTTGCCTTTTTCGCTCATGAGAATTTATTTCATCGATATCTCAAGACGAACAATCCGCGCGAGGTCAGCAGAGAATATTTTCCTATAAAAAGCTTGACCATTTTATGTAAAATTTTCTCTAATGGTTTAAAAATTTCCGAGAAAGCATTCGTTAATGCCAGAGACTAATTTAAAAACATGCCATGATCAATGGTCTTTTAGAATAAAAATTTTCAAAAAGGAGCCATGAACTGTAATTTCTCCACCATCTTTTTCTCTTTCGGCGAGATCGCACGAAGAATTTTGTTTTAATTTTTTGAAGGATAGGACTTTTATGAAGAATTTTGATCAAAGCTAAGGTAATGAATTAAATAATGGTGAAGGTACGACAAATAAAACATATGTTGATGTTGATTTCCAGATTTTTAGAATAAAAACATATTAGGTTTTCCTAACCAAACCAAGCAAATGGTGCGAATTGAATGACCACCATATTAATGCCCAAAATCGAAGCGATTCAAAATGAACCCTATATCTTGAATTCAATTAATTACTCTTAACTGTTACAAATCTCTCTATTTCTCTCTCGCATGCACATTCATTCATTCCTTGTTCTATATTAATACGCAATTGCGGAGCAGAACCCTTATGCCATGAATTCAGGACGCAATGAGGAGGCAATATTCAGCATCTCTTTTTCTTCTCATGGCGTCACTGCTCTTGGCGGTATCATTAACGGAAGACACAAGAGAGGCAGCAACAGCGTCATCTGAAGGTGGAATAAAGTTCCCTTTATGGCCAACGAGGCACGTGAGAATCACGAACGACCTGGGGAAGGGTCGCGTTTTGAAGATTCACTGCAAATCCAAGAACGATGATCTGGGAGTGCACAACCTCTCGTTTCAAAGCACATATCAATGGAAGTTCAGGAGCAACATATTTCTGAGGGTGACGTTGTTTTATTGCTACATGTGGTGGGGGAAAGTGGAGGGAAGTTTTAATGTGTACGAAGCAGCGAGAGACGATAAGAAGTGCGAGGACTGCAAGTGGAGCATCAGAACTGACGGTGCTTACTGGTTCGATCCTCAAAATGGCCACTGGAATCTCTTGTATCGATGGCCTAAAACCTAGATTTCCATGCACCGCGTCGGACCATGATAATAGTTTAATAGGCATTGTCTATCTTCTTGCTCCACTTCTTCGCTCTGGCCAGCCTTTGAATGCCTTTTCTTCTTGGTTTGCTTATTGGATTTCTCACGTTTTATTTTTAATGTTACAATAACCCTAAATTATAGGCCTGTTTAAATTTCAATTGATTATAATTAATTAATATGATTAATTTTAATTATAATTGATTATTTTTTAACATAATTTTTGAACAATGAAATTAAATTTAATTTTGTAAATTATAAAAAAAAAAGACATTATTTTTTAAAATTAAATTATTGATAAAGTTATATTTGATATTATTAAATAGGTTAAACTTTATTTAAATAATAAAATAGATTATTTAACCGTAGAATTGAATCTATAAGTAATCTTTAATCTTATTTCAAAACATAATTCTAACTTAATAGTCAATTATTAATTTTGGTGGCTGTTTGAATAAATTTTATAAAAATCAATTATTTTGGCTCAACAATCGATTTTTGGCCGAATCCTGGCAATATATTTAAGAAAATTAATTAGTTCCCTTAATTTCATTAATACGGTTCTTTATCAGTTATCACTCGCCAAATGTAGCGCCGGGGGGGGGGGGGATGATGTTATCGAGTTTATCGTTGATTGTAATTGATTTTATTATTTTATTTTAAAAAACTCGGAATAAATGACTGAATTATAAATCCAGAACAATTTCACTCCAACATAAAATAGAAACAAAGGTCCGTTATCTACTTATCATAGGGTTCTATCTCTTTGCGTTTTTGCCACTTCGTGTCTCAATCTCTCTATCTTCATCTACTAGCCAACGACTCCCTCAGCGTCTCTTCTCCGGCTCTGAGCCTAGTCCACAAGCACAACCGAAGCGTCGTCAACTCATCTTTTCAAGCTCTGATCACCAAAGGCTCGACGACGTCCAGTGTCGTCCATACCAGAAGGCTCGTCGCTGCGCATATGTTACTGTTCAGCACTGCGATCGACTAGTCAACGCTCGCCGCGTACGACGCCCCATCCATAGAAACCCTGCTCCTGCAAGCATCAGTAGCACATTGTTCAGTGGAAACCTCCATCTGTCGCTCTTCAGCCCTGGTCCCACCTGAAGTTTGTTCATTCACATCGCAATCGTGATTCCCCGGCGAGGAATTGGAATTTTGTTTACCCGGTATGCGGGGGTGAAGCCAGCGATTCTGGAGGAGAGGTGGATGACTTAGCCGCCGTTCCATAAGCTGAATGCCTCCAAGGTGTATGAGAAAATGAGCTGGAGAGGGACGGAAGCCATCCAGGCCTTAATGTTCATGAGGCCAGGAATCGAACCTGCCGGCGAGCAAGATACGAGTGGTAGCAGCAAAAGTGAATTGGAAATAAACAAGTGAAGCCATGGGAAAAAATGGCTGCGGTTAGAGTTTCTACACTGCCATTGTTGTGGAGGAGAGACGCTGTTTGGGGGGGGGGGGGGGCCCAGAGAGAGAGAGAATTTGACGCCGGTGTAAATTGGACGATTGGTCTCTCTCTCTCTTTCTAAAGCAGCGGACGTAACAGTAGGTGAGAAATTGCCTAAATTTAATTATTCAGATTTCAAAATATATTAAATATAAATTTAAGATTTAAATTACTCCTAAATTTATAGTTTGATGTCTAAACTACTATTTAACCTTAAAACTATTTTGATTGTTTTTTGGTGCAACTGTATTATTAAACTTTCACGTCTCCGTTCGCATTGGAATTTTTTGAAGTTTTTGTACAAGTTAAATCGTTCAAATAAATTTTATTCATGCAAATCATTTTAAATTGTTAAAGAAAAAAAAAACACTAAAAATTCATCACAAAGACTTCGTAAAAAATAATTGAGTAAACTCAATTTATTTTGGCCGGAATTGAATAACCTAAATAAATCTTACTTTTTACTTTGGTTCTTTCTTTCGGTGGTCAACAGAGGTTTGCATATATTTAAAACATAAGAAATGTTTGCCTCTCTTTTAAACAAAAGTTAAAAAAAAGAAAAGAAATTGTGATTTGAACGGAAAAACATGTGTAATATATTCTTTATTTTAAAAAAATATTTTAAAAATATCGATGAAGGGCGCGTGAATCTAAAAAAAATAATTCAAAAAAAAAAATCCGTCATTTACTCCATTTCATATGGGAGACTACAACCTTTTTTTTTTTTAATGAAGATAAGTACGGAATTTTCTTCTATGCACAAAAAGTCACATATCACATATCAGACACAGACCAAAGGTAAGCTTCCTTGTCTCTGGATCGCTTCTCATTCATTCTCTTGAACAGCTCCTTCTCAAATCCTGCCACCAACATCATTTTAAGATTAATACCCAAAAAAAAAAAAAAGAATTCGAAAATTAGTTCCGCGAGAAATATAAGACGTTAGAACGGCACGAGTGTGAACCTACCATTACTACGATCAACACCATCCCAGTGTCGTCCTGGCCTGATCCCATAGCGATTAGGTGCAGCATCCAAACCTCTTTTCAACCAGCTGTGATCTGGAATGTCCTGAGGAACAATAAAACCTGATTCCTGCATTTTATCTCCGTCCCCCAAGTTCGGAATAACAGGCGCCGGATATTTTTTCTAAGAACGACAATTTCCACAAGAGAAACATGTCAAAACTGGTATGAATTCCACCATCATAGCGTCATAAATAAATATACATAGGTCAGCCACAGATTTTTTTACATTACCTTCACCAAATGTGCCATAGGATCTCCCCATCTTACTCTCTCCTTCAGCATTATGTCAAGCTCCGGGTCATCTCTGGCAGAAAACACGGCTTTACATTCTTACAGAGAAAAAGAGGCAAGGAAATTTATTCTCTCAAAGATATTAAGCCCAAACAACAACAACACGCATTGCTTGTTCATAAAGGCCGCCTTAGCAAGATGCCAATCTTTCCATTTAAAAAAAAAAAATGCTGGTGAGTGGTGAGCGACAATGCAACAAATTTAAGTTGCTAAAAAGTAGCAATATTCCCACCAAGTTAAACTATCCTTAGCAAGTTAAAAACAATTGCGGGCATCATGATGGGTTTCTCTTTCTACAACCCTTCTCACAAGAAGAACCACTGTTTCGCAGGAAACACTGTCCTTCAGACATTTCTTGCATTACCTCGTACGTGCAAATGGCCTGTCCTTCTCAAGTTCTAGTTCCTTTAGTTTAGCCTCAGCTTCCCGTTTTTGAGCCAAGCCCTTACCCCATTCTATTTCCTTCTCCTGAAAATCACAAGGCAGCAAAGAATTAAACTGGGCAATTTTTTCTAGGAAAGAGATAAATAAGATCAATGATCCATTGAAGCAGTATTCAAACTTGACCTATAGCATTAAGCAGGGAAAAGTAAACAGCTTGTTGTCAGCGCAACATTCTGTGGCATTGTAATGTTGCATTGTATGCTTACATGGGACAAATAACGCCCACTTGAAAATGGCTTCAAAAATACCCCTCAGCCATCATGGGTGTAGAAGAGTGATGTGACCGTGAGATATGGTCAGACTTATAAGAGGAGATCAAGGGGGCAGTTGGGCGTAGAAAGGAAATACCCATTGGGTCAGGATTAATATCCTGGGGGTCCAAAAAAGAAGGATTATGCCATGATGTTTTGGTAGGGTGGCTTAGATTTAGTCTCGATATTGAAGTCACCTTTTTGCTTGCTTTATTTGGCTGTATTATTTTTGGTTGGCACTCAAGGATGTTTTAGAGAAGTTAGATAGAAGTGAGGAGAGTGCTGGACTCTCGAACACCAATGAGAGACCTTTTCTTATTGCTGTGTTCTTTCATTTGGTTTGTAATTTCAGTTATAGGGAATAAGGTTTTGGCTAGAATCAATGAGTTTCTCTTTGTAACACTGATTCGGTTCATATGCATTAATATCAAAACCTCAGAATTTCCCTCATTTATTTCTCTTTGCATTAAAAGCTTGGTTCTATTAGTTATTTTAGAGCAGAGCTCTAACATTTGGTATCAAAGCCGTGCAATCCTCGGACCCTCTAATAAGTGCAAGAGAGATGGCCGAAAGAGTGCAGTACTCTAACCCCGAGGTCCAAGAGTTGAAAGAATCTGTTGGAGGACTATCGAAAGAAATGACCATGATGAAGGAGATGATGTAGACGATACAAGACAAATTAGAGCAAATAGCAGAGAAACAGAAAAGTGCAGACCAACCTTCTGAACAAGATCAACCCAGCCATGAAGAGACTACATGAAGCACCGAAGATCATGAAAAAGAAGTAGGGAAGTACAAGAAGCTGGAGCCAATATTTGATAGAGGAGACCCTATCGGGTGGCTTTTCAAAGTGGAAAGGTATTTTCGAATCAATGCTGTGGCTGAAATGGAGAGACTGGAAGCAACCATCGTGTGCCTCGAAGGTAAGGCTCTTAACTGGTATCAATGGGTGGAAACTCGAGCACCTATCCGAGAATGGTCAGAGTTCAAGCAAGAACTTCTGCGTCGATTCCATCCCTCACAGCCTGGGGATCAGTATGAGATGATGTTTGCAGTCAAACAGGAGCGTTCTGTGCGCGAGTATGTGGAGGAGTTCGAACGCGTATCAGCTAGGGTGGGAGACGCATCAGAATCGTGTGTGGTTGGGGCAATTCGTGTAGGACTAAAACTAGAGATAAGGGCTGAATTAAAAGTCACGGCCGCTAGTACCCTTAGAAAAATTATGGAGATGTCTATTAGGGCGGATGAGAGGAATTAAATAATAGAGAAGGCCAAAGACTCACGGTTTTTGTGAGGCCAGTGTTTTCAAAGTGGGCTTAAAAATGAGTCAGCCCAAACTCCTTTCACACGGATCACTCATGTGGCCGAGCCCAGTAAAAGCATGCACACCTCTTCAATACACTCAAGACTCCAAAAACGGGCTGAGACAAAAGTGGCAGACTCAAAAGTGGTGAGGAACACGATAGGAACAGCGTCGTCGCGTCCAGGGGGACGAACCTAGCGACTTTCAGATGCT